GTCGGATACATCTGTACGGATGCCAAAGGCGCTTGTCTGCTGTACCATCTCGTCGGCCAGGTCAGGTGCAAAGCACCTTGACATGACACCGCCGAGCTTGCCTTCCAGTTCGTGAAGTCTGCCCGGCTCAAACAAAAAGGCTTGAAGACATACATATAAACGTCTAAGCGGGCTTTGAGCGAACCTCCGGATCGCCAGGAGAATGCCCTGCAGATCGTTGCAACATGTATGCTTTTGTTGTATTGAGACATGAACCCAAAACTCCGAGCCGGGATATGGGGAGGAATTCGTATGTATTACTTAGACTGCCCCAGTTTCCTCTATATACAGACCGAAAGCTTCATGCAATTAAGCCGTCCTACTCCGGAAAGCGGATGGCTACCTTGGTTTCCTTCTTTTCATTGAAGCGTTTGTAATACTCTGGTGCGTCCTCGATGCCAATAACTGCGCTGATCACAAAGCTTGGGTGGGCTTTGCCGCTGTTGATAAGGTCGATCAACTGGGGAGCGTACGGCTTGGGATCAACGGCTCCTGTTCGGAAACTCAAGCCCTTGGCGAAGAAGGACGAGACGGGGAAGGAAATCGTGGGCGAGATGTCGCTGCCGTACGGTGCGCCAGGCGAATCGTCCTGCGAACTATACACGCCCAGTTGGCCCATGCCTCCCTTAAAATGCGCCACGTCAATCATCTGTTGTGTGATAGTGCTCTCGTCCATCTCAAGACTCGAGTTCAACGCCTCCATGCCGACACAGTCTACAGTGCGCATGACCCCGTCCGGCTCACGAGCCAGAATCTGGGCGACGGGGTCTTCGTCAGCAAAGTTGATCGGGATGGCGCCGATGGAAGCGGCGAGAGCAAGGCGTTCTTTCACATGGTCGACGACGTAGACCTTGGACGCTCCACGCAGAATAGCCGAGTAGGCAGACAGCAGCCCAACGGGACCCGCCCCGAAAACGGCGACGGAATCGCCGGGTTCGAATCCGGTGTAGTCGATGCCGGCCCATCCCGTAGCGAAGATGTCCGAAACGGTCAGGTAGTCGCGCTCGATCGTCGAGTTGGCGGTGTCATGAGTCAACGGGATGGGGATCAGGTTGGCCTCAGCGAAAGGGACCCTCGCGTATTCAGCTATGCGTCTCGTAGTCAGCACATTGTCCACCACGCACGGCAGGTCCATTCAACAGGATTGCTCCAACCTTGAAGCCCACCGAGACCCATTTCACTGTTCCCGAAACCAAAGTATTCCTTCGACCTCGGCACCATCTCCAGATGATCCTCAGACACGGTGTCGGGAATGATGACATAGTCCCCAACGGCGAAGGAGGACACGGCATCGCCGATCTCCGAGATGTAGCCGACGGCCTCGTGGCCCATTATCCATGGCACCGCACCGCCCATGTAGCCGCGGTAGATGTGCAAGTCGGATCCGCATACGGCCGCGGTGGTCACCCGCACAACGACATCCGTCTCTTTCAGGATGGCTGGCTTGGCGACATCTTGAACCATCATTTCGAAAGGCGTGCCATGGTAAACAACTGCGCGCATGGTCGCGGCTGGCCAGGAAAGATTGAGTGACATTGCTATATGTCAAAGAACGTCGATGCTCGAAATAGTTGTGTGTATGAGGCGATGATGCGATTCTATGGCATGTGTAATGACGGTCTGATGCGATTCTTGGTCCTCATTCACAAGAGGTTTGAGACTTTGAGACGTGGCGAGAGCCATAGTTATACGCGCATATGTCGCCAAACGATGCAGGCTTTCCTCTACTAACACAATTGATCGACTACGTTGGCACATGTTGTTGAAGCACTCGTAGCCTAGCCAGTTGGTGTAGCA